TTTCTAACTTTAAACTGTCAGACAGTTTTGGATATCGGTGCTAGATCAATATCCATACTGGGAATGGGATGTACCAAAGTTATGAATGTGTATTTGTATTTTGTTTATTCAATACTTGTACAGATAAAAGAGCTCTGTAATCACCTGTAAATTAATACTTGTATAGATAAAAGGATTCTGTAATCACCTGTAAATTGCAGTGTGAATTTGGGAGTTATCCCGGCACGCTTGTCCATCACACTTGGATATCGGTACTAGACCAATATCCATAATTTTTAATAAATCAAAAGGACCAGATTCACACTGCCAAAGGACGGATCAGAGCTCTTCCCTCTGTGGGATTCTCCCCAGCCCCTCTCCACCTGCCGCTGTGGCCTCGCCGCTGTCGTGGTGGATGTTGGTGGCAGCCCTGACGGCCGATTTCACGGCCATGTCCATCCCGGCCTCGCCGCTATCGTGGTGGATGTTGCTGGCGGCCCTGACGGCCGATTTCACGGCCATGTCCATCCCGGCCTCGCCGCTATCGTGGTGGATGTTGCTGGCGGCCCTGACGGCCGATTTCACGGCCATGTCCATCCCGGCCTCGCCGCTATCGTGGTGGATGTTGCTGGCGGCCCTGACGGCCGATTTCACGGCCGTGTCCATCCCGGCCTCACCGCTGTCGTGGTGGATGTTGCTGGCGGCCCTGACGGCCGATTTCACGGCCGTGTCCATCCCGGCCTCGCCGCTGTCGTGGTGGATGTTGCTGGCGGCCCTGACGGCCGATTTCACGGCCGTGTCCATCCCGGCCTCGCCGCTGTCGTGGTGGATGTTGCTGGCGGCCCTGATGGCCGATTTCATGGCCGTGTCGATCCAGGCGTGTGGCTGTGCCGCGTGCTCCCCGGCGAAGTGCACCCGGCCCTCGTGGGCGAACAAGGCCTGCGAGTAATCCACAAACTGGTACGGCGTGAAGGCAGCAAAAGCGCCCAGGGCGTGCTGGTCCAGCTGCCACTTCTGGATCACGTGCTGGTCGCAGGTGTACTGCAGGTACTCCTTGCTCACCTGGTGGATGTCCGCCAGGTCTTGCAGCACCACGTCCAGGCACTTCTCGTCGGTGAGGGGCAGGAAGAACTCGGCGTCGTTGTTCCAGGTGTAGGAGGCCAGGATGACACCCACGCCGCTGGAGAAGTTGTGGCTGGGGTAGTAGATGAAGCGGGAGGGGTGGTCGGTGACCGAGTACCCCCCGCGGATCCCGTCCTTCTCCCAGAACCTCTCGGAGCAGGCCAGGATGATTTTGGTGCTGCTGGCGTAGTTGATGGAGCGCAGGGCGTGGGCCTTGGCGGGGGACAGCGGTGGCAGGAACTGGATGTGCCTGGTAGCTTTGGCGCTGGAAGTGACAAGGACATAATCTGCAGTGATGATGGTGGGGGACAGCGTGTCCGGAGCGCGGTAGAACACTCGGACTTTGTCGCCCTTCCTCATGATCTTCTCCACGGTGCAGTTGAACTGGATGATGTTGGGCAGCGCCTTGTGGAAGGCTTTGGGCAGCTGGTCAAACCCTCCGGTGATTTCATCAAAACTGGAAGGGGAGGAGAAGCGGGAGGTGTGGGAAGGACGGGGGGTTTAGGGAGTGTAAAAATAAAAACCTGAGCTCCTCTGGAGACACCAGCGGAGCTTGGGGGTCAGATTGAGCTGCGAGTGGCTCCTGTTTGGGATCACTCTGACATTTTCTGTTGTGGGGATGGGGTTGGGCTGCAGGGACAGTACTCACGTCTCCTCAGAGAAGATGTCAAAGTCCCACAGGGAGGCGAGGAAGGACAGATAAAACCCCGAGTCCTCGTTCAGCAAGTCACCGATCATCTCAACAGCTCCTCGGCTCAGCCCCCCGACCTTGGTCAAATATTCCTGGAGATCCCAGGAGGAGAGAGAGACACAGGTTGTTACCTCAGCTAGGGCTCCACTGGAGCTGTGCTGGCCCCTTTCTCAGCCTTTTATAAGCAGATCCAAAAGGTGACAGAGGAAGGGATTAGAGTGAGCAGGTGAATTATCAAGACCTGGTATTAAATTTATCCTCGAGCCCAAGCCCATTACCTTGGTGGAGAAGGAGTCGTGTTGAGCCAGATATTTCCTGCAATCAGTGGTCTGGAACTTCTTAAAAGCCTGGAGAAGAAACATTGATGTATTCACTGGAAAAGGATCCATTTCCAAAAGTGCTGCCCAAAATTCTCTCAGGATTTCAGGGCTTGGTAACCCTTGCAGCTTCTGTACATCAAATTTCAAGCAGCTGTGCCTCAGTGTGGCATTTTCTGCTCATCCAAGTGGACTCCTTCCAAGGGATTTCTTATGGACAAAGAGGGGTTTTGCAACCGTCTGTCCTTGTTTCTGAGCCTCTCTACTTTTGACCCCCAAAAGGACCCTGTTCTTCCCCAATTTATGGCCAAGTTTTCTCCAATTCATCTCATTGTTCAGGCGAGGGGACACCACGGGAAAACCTTGTACCTTGCTCAGGACCTCCCGGTAGAGCTGGACGGGGCTCTTGCCCCTCTCTGATGGCTTCACCGTGTAATTCAGGACATCAGGGTTCCTGTTGACCTCCTCAGCCCTGACCCGAGCACCCTTCAGGAAGTACCAGGTGTTGTTGTCCCTCTGGATGAAAGGATTCAGCTTCAGGTTGAACTGGCGGATGAATTCGCGGACCAGCCTGGAAAAAAGGGCGGAGTGAGGGCGCCGAAATCCAGCCACCAACCCCCCAGCTCTGCCACCAGAGCATTTTTTCCCCTTGGCACAAATCCTGAACCCCGGGGAAGCACTGGGGATGATTTTCATGATTTTCCCCCCAGACTGGGCTGGTCCCTCACCAGGCCATGGGGGTGGACACGGCCTCACCTGTGCTTGCCTGGCAGGCGCATGGCTCCCAGCTCCACGTACCAGTCCTGTCCCTTGGGCCGGTACGTCCGGATCCGCCCCCCGACCCAGCTGCTCCTTTCCAGAATGGTGACCTAGAAAAAATTGGATGGAGGCTGGAAGTGTTTGGGAAATGGCTTGTTTGAAGTGAAACTCCCTCAAAACCAGGTCCAGAGGGTGGGACAGATCCCCTTCAGATGGCAAATGAAGCACCTGTAGATCCAAACCCTTCTCTGCTGGCCAAGACGTCTCTGCCTACGGGGCAATTTCTCATTTCCCAATTCCTGGGTTGCATTTAGACACCAGCTCTGGTGAGAAGGTTCTTGTGGTGGTTCAGGGTTTTGGGGCTCTGAAATCAGCACCAATCTGTCCCCACGTGCGTTGCAAACCCTCTTTGAGACTCACAGGTGCCTTGGGATGGTTTGGAAACCCCTGGAATTTCCACTGCCCTAAAGACAGAACTTAAAGGACTTGTTTGATTCACAGGAACCAACATAGGGGAAATTACCGGAGACAAATCTCCTTCCCTTCCTTCAGGGGTTGAACCACTGCATTTCCTTTTCCCTGGAAGGCTTTTAGAGGAGGGAAATGAGCCTGGCAGACCCGTGCGGGATTCCCCACCTCGTGCCCGGCGTCGCGGAGCAGCTTGGCCGCCGTCAGCCCACCGATCCCAGCGCCCACCACGACCACGTGTGCCGGGTGGGCCGCGGGCTCCAGCCCATCCCGGGCGATCTGCAGCAGCTCCTCGTAGTCCTGATCGTGGAGACAATACTCGGGAAAGCACGGGAACCGCTGGGCGCTCAGCAGACCTGCCAGCAGGAGGATCTGGAAAACGGCTGGGGAGGGAAGAAGAGGAGGGAAGGCAAGAATGTGGTGTTGGCACAAACTTTGTTGGCATCCAAGACCTAAAAAGAGGAACTGGGGTGTTGTGAAACTCCTGGCTGGAGCAGGTCCACCGTGGAAGGCGTCAGGAGGTGTCAGTGAGGGCGATTCCCATTTTCTAGGAGAAATCAGCCCATAGATGATTTTTTAGTTCTCCCTATCCATACAGCTGTTGTGGTGAGTTCCCAGAATGATTCTGACCTTCTTACAATAAGACCCAAAGCTTTCAAGAACAGTAATTAGTGTCACTCATGTGAAAGAACTGAGGCACCTTGTTGTTACCAGTGACCCTTCCCATACCTGGGTAATTTGGGGAGTTTTTATGTGAAGGGTGGAGGGAAAAGACAGGATTGGGCAGATGGATCTGATGGGGACTTGCACAGACAGGAGAGCTGGAGATAAAATTTCACAGAAAGGTGGATGAATTGGAGGGATGAAGAGGTGCGGGATTTATCTTCTTTAAAATTCCCTAATTAAAATTTTCTACTTCATTTTAGAGAATTTTACTCTCCTTTAAAATCCCCTCCTTCTAAAAATCCCTCCCAATTTAAAATCCTCTCCTTTAAAATTACTGTGTCTTTGAGATGCCCACAGGGAGCAGCAAACAGACCTAAAATTACCATTTCCACCAGAACAGACACAAGGTTATTTAACATTTTCCCAGTGGAAGAAAATTTGGGCTGAGAACCAAACTCTGTCCCCTCCTGTCCCCCGTTCCCTCCTCTGCCCTCTGCCTTGGGATTTTCCTAGTTTTGGTTTCTGTTTTTCAAAATAATAAAGAGCAACTTTCATTTTCTTTTCCTTCTCCTGAGTGCTGCCAATCTTCTTCCAGGGAAAAACTAAAAAAGCTTTGGAAACCCTACTTTGGGTAATTTTTACTGCTTGAAAATGCCTGGGAATTCTGATTTTTTTTTTTTTTTTTTTTTTTTTTTTTTTTTTTTTTTTTTTTTTTCTGGAGTAGCCCCAGAACTGGGGTGGATCTGCCAGGAATCCACCTTGGAGCCTTTATCATCCAACATCTGAGGCAGGTGTTTCAACAGCCCCTCAAGCTGATCAAGACACCAACCACGAGTGTGAAAAATATTTAGGAAGAATTTGCTCCAGAAATCCTGTTAACAGTGGGATAAGGTTGGATTGACCTGGAAAAAAACCTATGGACCATTTGGGAGATCCTGTTTGGAGATCAGAGCAAATATCCTGGGACCAGCTCTTGGAGGTGTCACCTCCATCAGGTGGTCTTTTGGAAAGATGTGGAGCATCTCCACCTTCCATCAGGTGGTTTTTTTTGGGAAGATGTGCAGCATCTCCACCTTCCCAAAAGGAGATTTTTTTTGGGAAGGTGCCTGAACCTCCAGGTGACCATGGAACAGCCCAGCTGGAAAAAGGGAGACCTGGCAAAGAGATGGAACCCAAACACCAAACCCAGACAGCAAAGATGAAAGAAATCCAGGAAAAAGCCCACTGAGATCTCAGGATTTGAGGGGAAGAATCACTCACCAGTCCCAGTCATCGCTCCAGGAGGAAGATGAAGCCTCTGCTGAGATTGCAATTCATTTTATACCCCAGCTTAAGAGGGAAAAAAAAAAAAAAAGAAGTGACCTGGTGCTTCCAAAAAACCCTCTGCCAATCAGTGCAACCCGGAAGGGAGTGAAGTGTGATTTGTCATCAGAAGGGGAACCAGAAATTGAGCAGAGTCAATTTCCTCTGCTGGATTTTTTTTTTTTTTTCTGTCCCCCTTTAGTCTCTGGAGCAAAGTCAGCTGTCCAGTGCATGCTTTGGGGTGTACCATGTTTACCCAGACACTGTGGCCGCACCCTGCTCCTCCAGAGGCAGCAATTTCCCAGAAGGGAACAATTGGGTTTGGGTTTTTTTTCCTGGTATTGCACAAAGACCGCTGAAATCTGTTCAGCCATCAGGGGCAGCTTTCTGAACCCCGGGGAGACTTTCAAAATATGATTTCAGGGGTGAAAACGAGCATTTTTGGGGAAAATTCATCTGCTGGATGCTCTTAGGTGTTGGCAGTTTTGGCTTGATCTTGCCTCCATTATAACAGAGGAGGTGACGAATTGTTTGAGTGGGAAGGAGACTGTAAAGATCACCCAGAACTTCACTGAAATGGCAAAAACTGGGTATTTTTCCTAGAAATGAGACCAGTATTTTTCCAGAATATGGTGCCAAAGCACCATAAACTCATCTGAGGAACCATCTCTTTGTTCTTGGACCGAGAGCTCCTGCTTGGAGCTCTCACCATATTTTATCCTGTTCAATCACCACAAAACTGTGGGATTTCACTACATATGATCATAAAACATCTCAGGATGAAGGAACATTCAGTCAAACAAAATTTAGGAAGCATTTTGGAGGGTTTTGCCCAGAATTTTGCTCTTTGGTGGTTTGTGGGGGTATTTTTGTGGTTCCTGCAGGATTCCCAATGCCATGGTCTTGGTTGTGCTGGTTTGAAGGCAAACCAGCGGGGGAAATCAACCCCACACAAATCCCTTGTGAAAGATTTTAAGTCATAGTTACAATTTAATAGAAAAATCACAATAAATGCAACGAATACAGAAAATTGGCTTAAAACCACACAGTGAGAGCATAGCCTGGCCCCTTTGAGGCAGGGTGGCGGTCACAGTCTGGTTAAGCAGTAGTTTCAGGGCTGTTGAAGTGATGCTTGCAGTTTTATTAATTACTTGGTGTCCCAAGTCATTATGTTACAAGATTACATGTGTTCGAGATTGTGTGTGCTCAGATTCAGGAGGTACATCCCCCAGGGTGGGGAGGTTCACGATGGAACGATGTAGTCCTGTGAGTCACAGGATGTTTTTGGGGTCCTTGATGGTTTCTTGACTCCTTCCTGTGCTGTCTTCATTAAAATTGGGTGACAAACATTTTTGGGAAGTTTTCTTCTGAGAAAAACTGAAGGACTGAAGGTTTTTCTTGATTTTTTTTTTGTTTTGGAGCATGTCACCATTGAAGAAAATCCACCAGCTGGACTGGAAAAAAGTAAAAGTATCATTTTTTGGGTTTGGGTCTGGTTTTATGTTTTATGATTCATGATTTATGGTTTGCTGGTTGTTCCTCCGTGGGGTGTCAACACCAACTTCCAAAACCACACCTGGAAAAACAAATCCTGAGAGATTTGGGAATTACACGGTGAAACTGGCCCAGATGCATATTTCCAGGAAAGGCAGAGAGTTTGGAGTGAAGGCAGCTGATTTCAGATTGCCTTGATAAAACCTGGATTAACGCATGCCCCAGCAAGCTGCTTTGGGATCAACCTCAGTGACGGGGACATCATCATTTTCTGGGCATCAACAATCCACCAGTTGCAAAAGTTGTCCCTCCCATCTTCCTGCTGGCATCTGCTGATTCCCTGAAGGTTACGGGAAGGTGAGTTGCAGCCTGGCACCGGTTGCATCACGAGGCAGGGAATCAGAGGGTGGGAGAAGGGATGGGGATTTCTTTCCAAATCGCTCTTGCCTGGTTTTAAAGTTGGGGGAAAAAAAAGAAAAAAGAAAAAAAAAAGTGGAGTTTCATTCCACACGTTTTGTGGGGCATCATGAGCGTGTTGGAGGGCACCTGGAATGGTAGAGGGTGCTCTCCTGGGAGCGTTTCCCTGTGGAGATGAAAAGGGACTGAGATTATGTAAAGCACCAGGAGGGAAAACCCCGCGTGGATTTATTAATGAGGTAATTAGCCCTAATGAGTCTCTGGGCCGGCAGGCACAGGTTGGAGAGCCCTGGGCAGGTCCTGGTGAGGAAAGATGTGCTTTCAAAGCATTTACTTGTCCATCGTTTCCTGCTTGGCCAGAGGATTCCCTGGATACATCTGTCGCACGCAACACTTTTGGGACTGGGGGCATAATGAAAGAAATGAATGCAAGAAATGAACTCCTCCTCCCAGGGAGGAGTTTGTATTCGTGGGGTGGTGATAACCAGCTCACCTAGAGTTTTGAGGGGAGAAAAACCACTTATTTTCACCAGGAAAACACCATTAGGGCTATTTTTCCATGTGGAAAACATGAATTTCTTCCTGCCTGCTGAGAGAGGGGAACCAGCAGAGTCCCTTTTCTCACCTGGGAGGGGGGGGGGATCCCAGCAAAACCCTTCCCAACAAACGATCCATCCCTGCTCCTGCCATCCCAATTTTCCCGGCGGAGCTTCCCCAAACCCTCTGAGTACCAACCCGGGGGGACAAGGCGGGGGAAAGGGCAGGAGCAGGAGGGGCAGGGGGGCACCGCTCCCGCGCGTTCCCGCGGCTCCAAAGGGATTGTAGGAGGTTTGGGGATGGGTTTGGGACGGCGTTACCTCTAGAGGGCTCTGGCTGAGCGGAGCTGCTGCTCAGCCTCTCGTCTCTCCCTCCCGGATACCCGCTCGGCCTTCCGGAGCCGCGCTCGGCATCGCCTCCATTGTGTCCTGCTGGGGGAGGCTGTGGGGTGCAAGGGGGGCTCTGGGCATCGCCCCCTCCCTGCCTTGGAACGGAGGACGCTTTTGACGCGGAAAAACCCCGCGGAAGCCGGGGACAAAGGCAGGTAACGGGGAAGAGGAGGGACAGGGATGCGGGTCGGCTCCCAGCGGGGCCGGAGACGGCAGCGGGGGCTGTTCCTGGCTCCTTTGGGGAGGGGACAAGGGACAGGTAGGATGGAGAGGGAGGCCTGGGCTCCGCGGGGGTGGGGATGCTCCTGGATGCAGCCCCCAGCGCCCCGCCGCTGATTCCCGGGGAGCGGAGAGCCGGGAGGAAGAGGAGGATGCTGCGGGATGGGATCTGCCAGAACGGCGGGGGCAAAGCAGGACTCTCCTGCTCAGGGTTAGTCCTGGATGCAGGGGCTGTGAAAACCCAGCATTCCCGGAGGAGACTGCACGAAAAGGGTGAAATCTCGAGCGGGAAGCACTGTCTGTGTGTGGGGGGGGGGAGTTCCTCGATTTCAAGGGGTTTCTCCTCCCTGCAGGGGATTTTGGGGAGCCCCGAGGGAGGAACGTGCGTTGTTCCCTCTGCCATGGAGCCGTGGGTGCTGCTGGATCCGCGGCAGAAGGCTCTGTACCTCGACGTGATGCACGAGAGCTACGAGACCCTCATGTCCCTGGGTAAGGACCCCCCAAAAATCTCTTTCCTTGTTGTATGTCCCCCTGTCCTTCCTTTGCTTCAAGCAAAGCAGTTTGGGAAGAGGGGCTGAAGGATCTGGGCGAGTTTCCAGGGGGATTTCCCCAAGCCCCAGCCCTCTCCTTAATTATTTTTCTTCAGGAAAATGTTATTGATCTCTCCTAATTTAAATTGAAAATTCTGGGACTGGAGTGCCCCTTGGCATCTCCACATTTCCAGTTCAAACTGGGATCAGCTCCATGTTGGATGTCTTTTCCTCCTCCTTGGGAGAACAAGATTTTTAGGGGGAATCTTGTTGTTGCTCTATTGTTTTTAATCCTACCCTGCTCCAATCAGGGCCACGCCCTCCCCTTTTCCTCCTCCCTTTTCCCAGCAGCTCAGGGGCTGATGAGTGAAAAAGCGACAGTTTTAAGGAGAATCGTGGTGCTGCTACCATTATTTCGCCTCCCTCACGCTTTCACCTTTTCCTGCTTCTCCCTTTTCCCAGCAGCTCAGGGGCCGATGACTGAAAAAGCGAAAATTTTAAGGACAATCCTGTTGTTACTCCTTTATTCTAAATGCTGTTTCTCCCTTTTCCCAGCAGCTCAGGGGCTGGTGAGTGAAAAAGCAGTGGAGAGAGGAGCACCGGAGAGCAGTGCTGGGCACTCATCCCGCACCCTGGAGCGGGAGAAGCCCCTGGGCTCCCACCGGCGCAAAGCGAAGCGCCCAGACAAAGCCGTGCCCCTCAAACCCACCACGCTCCCCAAACTCGGCCGTGCCAAACCCCCGCGTGGACAAGGACCGGGCCGGGAGCGGCCGTTCGGCTGCGCCGACTGCGGGAAGAGCTTCCCGTGGGCCTCGCACCTGGAGCGGCACCGGCGGGTGCACACGGGCGAGCGGCCCTTCGGCTGCCCCGAGTGCGGCGAGACCTACAGCCAGAGCTCGCACCTGCGGCAGCATCGCCGCACCCACGCTGCCGGCGACCGCCCGCACAAGTGCGGCGACTGCGGGAAGCGCTTTGCTGCCGCCGCTGAGCTGGCAGCCCACGCCCGTGGCCACGCCGCCGACAAACCCCACAAGTGCGGCGACTGCGGGAAGGGCTTCGTGTGGGCCTCGCACCTGGAGCGGCACCGCCGTGTGCACACCGGCGAGAAGCCTTTCGGGTGTGCTGAGTGCGGCGAGGCGTTCAGCCAGGGCTCGCATCTGGCCAAGCACCGCCGCAGCCACGCCGGCGAGCGGCCGCACCGCTGCCCGGCCTGCGGGAAGACCTTCAGCCAGAGCTCGGACCTGGCGCGGCACCGCCGCACGCACCTGGGCAGGAGGCCGCTGCGCTGCGGCGACTGCGGGAAGCTGTTCCGGGCGGGGCCGGCGCTGGCACGGCACCAGCGGTGCCACAGCCGGGAGCACTCGCACCGCTGCGGCGACTGCGGGAAGGGCTTCGTGTGGGCCTCGCACCTGGAGCGGCACCGCCGCGTGCACACCGGCGAGCGGCCCTTCCCCTGCGGCAGCTGCGGCGAGCGCTTCACGCAGAAGGCGCATCTGCTGCAGCACCGCAAGACGCACTCGCCGGAGCGGCCCTACAAGTGCGGCGACTGTGGGAAGCGCTTCGGGGAAGCGCCGCTGTTCCTGGTGCACCAGCGTGGCCACACTGAGCACAAGAGCTACACCTGTGACGATTGTGGGAAGGGATTTGCCTGGGCGTCGCACCTGGAGCGGCACCGCCGCGTGCACACCGGGGAGAAGCCGTTCAAGTGTCCTGAGTGTGGCGAGGCGTTCAGCCAGGGGTCACATCTCGGCAAGCACCGCCGCAGCCACCTCCCCAAGGTTGCGGGGCCCTCACCCCTGGCCAGGACACGGCTCACTGGGGACACGCCTGGAGCTCGCAGCAGTGAGGAGCCCTAAGGACTAAGAGGCTCCTCGGTGTGATGGATGCAGAGAGACAGCTTCTCGGGAGGTTGCAGTTTATTGCAGCTCCGAGACACATGAAAAGTCTCTGTTTCGGCCCACAAAGAAGGAATTGAAGTTCTTCAGTTCTCAGTCTCAGAGTTGTTTATTGTATCTTATCTATAAAATTTTTATCCTGCCCAGCTGAGGTCTGCTCAGCAGGATAGTCAGAGGCACTCTGACTGCCCTCGGGGCAGTGTTATCTCTTTATACCACAAACTACGCATAACATGTTTACAATTACTTTCCAATACCTATCTCCTATGTTAGACAGTGAGTTTCTATTCTAAACCAATCTGTAAGTGCCAACATCACAGCAGAAGATGGAGGTAGAGAAGAAGAAGAAGAAGAAAGGCTGGACACTCCCAAGTCCCTCCATCTTGTCCCCAAAACCCCTATTCTAAAAACCCCAAAATCTACTTTTTCACCTAGTGATAATTTTATTAGTACATTACTTAAACTTCTGTGGCTTTCAGGCCTTCATGCAAAGCTGGTAATTTGCTCCATGGGTCATAATCAAACCCACAGGTGTTCTGGGCTGTGTGCCAGGGTCTCTGAGCCCCCTGGCAGGGGTCCCGGCTGCTCTGGACACCCAGAGGGATGCACTGAGTTCCGACAACAACTGAGGGAAAAACTTGTCTTGGACACCAAGTGACACTTGAAGGGCTCTGGGGTGGGTGACACTGCCCTGTCATGGCACAGGGTGGGATTTATCTGCCCTGGTGTCTCCCCACAGTGATGGGTGAATATTTGCACCTGCTACAGTTGAGACCCCAAAAAAGGGACAACCTGGGGGAGAAGGAGCTGATTCCCAAAGGAAACAGTGCTTGGCTCCATCAGGGAAGGGTGGGGGAATCAGGGCTGGTTCTGGTACAAAAATCCAGGGGTGTTGTGCTGCCAGCAGGTGGGAGAAGGGGATGGAGGGGATGAAGATACTCAGGATGAGCAGGAGGTGCTGGCACAGGGCAGGAATAAACTAGGAGTCCCACACCTCATGGACACGTGTCTCTTTGTTTACATAAGAACAAAAGGAAGGAAAGAAGGAATTAAAAACAAAGAAAAAAAGAAAAGGAAAAAAGGGAAGGAGCTGGGGGAAAGGGCAGAAGAGGGCTGCGCACAATGGCCGAGGCCCTCTGGCGGCAAGAGCTGCGAGTCAGGGTGGAAATTAAAAAAAACAAAACCACTTTGCTCGGGGGGGGGGGGAAATTGTTATTATTATTATTATTATTATTATTGTTGTTGTTGTTGTTATTATTTAGCCACAGGCAGCATTATGCAGTGTAGGGCAGTCAAATCAAGCTGTGGCAAGAGAATGAGGAGCTTAATATCGGAAATAAAATAAAATAAATAAAATAAAATAAAATAAAGCTGGAGATTCCCCCAGCTAGGATAAGTTTTCAGAGGGGGCAGGTGAATGCTGAATGATGAATAGAAGACATGGTCATAAATATTTTTTTTCTCTAATAACACTTTGGAAACCCTTTCTGAGGGCCTGGATACACAATAAAAGCAACTCCTGAGAAATATCACAGCAACATTTTGGGGAATTTGGTGTTATTGCCTCATTTGGCATCCTCAGAACGGCTCATAGAAGGGAATGGCTTGACTGAGTTCCGTTATCATGTTCTCCATCCTAAACCCAAAAAAATTCATTTTGGGGACAGAAATTATGCAATCAAATGTTTGAAGTGAGCAATCCAAGATTTTACAGCAAATCTGGGCCAAAATGCGGTTTTCTCCTCGCCCCCGTTCCGCAGGCCTTGCCCCCAGACTGGGCCCTGAGGGCCTGGCTGCCCTCACCCAAGATGGCGGCCGGGCCCTCAGGCCGCGGGCGCCATCTTGAGCCGGGCCGCGCGGGCGGCAATGGGGAGCGCGAGGCCGCCGCCATTTTCCCTCGCGCCCTGCCTGAAGCCGAGGCCGCCATTTCGGAAGAGGGCAGTTCCGCTCTGACCCCGAATTAAATTTTTAACCCCAATTTATTCCCGTTCCCCACAGTACAGTGACAAAATGTTTCCTCCCCGAAGCCAATCTCGCCACGGACAGCGAGGAAATGTAAGAATTTAGTGAGAAAAGCAGGAAAATGGTGCTGTTGTGCTCTGCATCTGTCGCATGGAGGAGGGATACGTCCCAGTAGGGATGTAAAAATCTCTAAATCCCCTAGGAAAGGGCTGATGGCGGTTTTGGGGTCGTTTTTGTACGTCTGGAAGTTTTGAATAATTTCTCCCTGAATTCAGCTTCCTGGAGCGAATTTCTAACACTTGTCAGATGGCCCCGAATCCACTACCGGCCCCCAGACCGCTCAGGCCGCTCCTGCGGGCCCTCGCGGCCATTGCCCCGCCCTCTCCTACTGCGCAACCGCAGCCACACCCCCACCCAACAGTACGCCCCCTGCCCGCGCTCCTTATATATCAGGAGAGTGTGACCACGCCCACCTCATTACAGACCGTGCAAACCACGTCCGTTTTACCCTCCCGCGCAGGCGCAGCCCCGCCTCTTTCCCCGGCGCTGGCCCGGCACCGCCCCTCGATCGTCAGTCGGGGCGGCGGAGCCGTGTGGAGTGGACGCTGCGCGTTCGGGGACTCTCTGTGGGCACCGGCGCCACGACCGGCACCGCCGCCGGCCCCGCGGCCGCTCCCGGCCCCGCGGCCGCCATGGAGGCGCCGCCCGCGCCCCCCTCCGCGCCGCCCGCCCCCTGCAGCGCCGCGCGGAGCCTGCAGGACGAACTGACGTGCCCGGTGTGCCTGGAGTACTTCAACGACCCGGTGCTGGTGGCCGAGTGCGGGCACAACTTCTGCCGCGCCTGCGTGACCCAGTGCTGGGAGGACTCGGCGCGGCGTCTGTGCTGCCCGCAGTGCCGCGAGCCGGTGCCGCAGCGCCTCTTCCGCCCCAACCGCTCCCTCGGCAACATCGTGCACATCGTCCGCCAGCTGGGGCTGCCGCCGGGCCCCGCTGAGCCGCCGCCGGGGCCGCCCGCGCCCGCGCCGCCGCTGCCCGCCGCCCCGGCCGGGCCGCCGGGCCCGCCGCGCTGTCCGCGGCACGGGGAGCCGCTGCGGCTGTACTGCGTGCAGGACCGGCGGGCCGTGTGTGTGGTGTGTCACCTGTCCCGAGAGCACCGAGCCCACACGGTGCTGCCCGCCGAGGAGGCGGCCCACGCCGCAGAGGTCAGTGCCGGGATCCCTCCTTACAACGGGGGGAGGAATCCCATGCTGGAGGGATGCGAGGCTTCGGAACCCTTTTCCCGGAGGGGAAAAGCACTGCGACCCCCCTCGGGGTGTTGGGGGGCAGTGAGAGCCCCTCCCGGGTCTTTTTTGGGGTGCTGGACACCCCTGAGAAATGGGGGATGCAGTAAACGGGGAAACACTCCAAGGAGATCTCGCGGAGTTGGGGTGCCCCATGAAATCCCTCCTCCTCCTTTGGGACTCCCCAGTTCAACGGGGAATAGAGAAATGAGCCCCCAGTCCCCCATGCTGTGTGGGGACCCCCAAATGTGTGGATCCAGCGGGAGATTCCCCTCCCCAGCTGGGCGCTGCTTCCAGAATTTAGGGGCGCAGAAGGACCCGAATCCCCCCAAAACACGGACAGGGCAGGGAGGAGATGGGGAGCACCCCAAGGAGATCTCACGGGGTTGGGGTGCCCCAGGGACTGCTCCTCATCAGGGACTCCCTCCTCCTCCTTTGGGACCCCCCAGTTCCAATGGGAGCACAGAAATGAGCCCCCAATTCCCCCATTTTTGGGGTGCATTAAAGGCCCCTCCAGACTGTGTGGATCGCACGGGGGATCCCCTGCCCAGCTGGGCGCTGCTTCCAGAATTTGGGGGATGCCGAAGCATCGGAATCACCCCAAAACACAGACGCCTCCGGGATGTGGGGTGCGAGGTCCATCTGGGATAAACTAGGAAAGTACTGGGAAAAGGGGGTGTCCCCACCTCAGTGCAAAATCCCGCCAGCCCCCCGAAATCCAGGACCGAACTGGGAACGGGGAGGAGGAGCGCGGCGTTATTTAATCCCTGATCCCGATCCAGGATCAGGCTGGAAGTGGCGCTGGGCTCCCCCAGGAGCCGCCTGTTCCCCCCCCCCCCCCCTTCCATCCCTGTGGAATGACGCAGAGCGAAAACGGCGCCCCCCCGACAGCGCTGGGGCTCCGCTGTGTCGCGATATGGGGCGTGTCGTGATCACAGCGGGGGTTAATTTGGAATTGTAAAACCCCAAGGGCTCGGTGTGGGTGGGCAGCCCTCGGAATTCCAGGAACCAGAGGGATCCAAGATGCCGGACGGAGCCGGTGTCGCTGCGCAGCGGCAGCAGGAGGAGGAGGAGGGAGCAGGGGAGGGGATTGTGGCATCATTAACCACCGCATATTAATTATTTGTGCCGATTAAATCCTTTTAGAGGGGGTTTTGTCCCGGAACTGCCGTGGTTCCTCTTCCGGGGACGCTGGGGCTGTTCCCCCCCCCCCCCCCCCCCCGCCCTAAATCTGGGATTTTGTCCTTTTTTTTTTTTTTCAGGACACAAACGTCCTTGTGTAGATCCAGGTTGTTGCTCCCTTGGGATTTTTTTCCCCCCTCGTTACCCTACTTTTATGAGTGTTTGATAATTGGTTGTCGCTGAGATCCTCCCTTCTTTTTTTGCCCTGATACTTGCTTTAATCTCACAGATAAATTCCAAACCCAGCAACTTCTGGCTCTTAACAGTCCAAATCCTTGTATTTAGGGTTTTAGTTATAAAATAAGTAGATTAATTTGCCCCCAGGGCCAGCTGCTGTTTGCAGGGGCTTCTCTGCCCTCCGTGGAGGTCAAACTTCTTAAATAAGGATGAGCTTAATTAATTAATAATTAATAATTTAATGAGCAGTTCAGAGGTAGCTGTTCTTCCTCTTGAGGGGGAGTCCAACCCAATTTTGGGGCACCTTGAGGAGGGAGAATGTGGGAGGTGATCCTGGGAGGAAGATGGGGGTGGGACCAGGGCATTTGTTTCCTCACAGACAGATAAAATTAATTTACTTTTTTTTTTCAGTTTTTGAGCTGGTTGGGGTGAAGTTTGGTGGTTTTGTTAGGTCAGGGCAGCTGCTGGTTCCATCTCCAAAAAAAACCCCAGATTAGGTGAATTTGACCATTTTAACAGCAGCAGTCTTTCCCTCCCGATGGCCCACGGGGGAAGAATTCCCAAGGGATCTGTTGTTGTGCTTTCAGGAGGTGCCCCAGGAGCACCTGAGCTCCCTGAGGAAAGGACGTGAGGAGGCCAAGGCTGAGCGGGAGAGGCAGAGCGAGGAGCTGCTGGTGAGTGCTGCGGGTTCCAGAGCCCCCTGCCAGGAGGGTTCAGTCTCACCTGGGCATTTCCTGGCTGGGAAAATAAATTTGGGTTCCCAGTGAGGGAACCCAGTGAGGAGCTGCTGGGACCCCCATCCAGGAAGGTTCAGGGAATTTCCTGGCTCTGGAAATAAATTTGGTCCCACCTGGAGGGTTCCTCTTCCCCATGGGAATGAGGGTTCAGTTTCACTGGGGATTTCCTGGCTCTGAAAATTTGGTTTCCCCTTCCCCATGGGAACCCCAGTAAGGAGCTGCTGGGAGCCCCATCCAGGTGGGTTCAGTCTCACCTGGGGTATTTCCTTGCTCTGGAAATTTGGGTTCCCCTTCGCCATGGGAATGAGGGTTCAGTCTCACTGGGGATTTCCTACCTGTGGAAATTTGGGTTCCCCTTGCCCCCAGAGATTCTCTCCCCGAGTTCCATAGCAGATCCCTGTGGGGATCTGCCCTCACAGGGATGTTCCCCCTGGAATTGCAGAAGCAGACGGAGGTGGAAAGGCAGAAGATCGTGGCCGAGTGCAAGGAGCTGCGGGCGTTCCTGGAGGAGAAGGAGCAGCTGCTGCTCTCCAGGCTGGAGGAGCTGGAGAGGGACATCGGGCGCCGCAGGGATGAGAGCGTGGCCCGGCTGGCCGAGGACATTGCACAGCTGGACAAGCTCCTGGCAGAGCAGGGCGGGGACAGTGGCACGGGGAGCACACCTGGCGAGGTGGGACTCTGTTGTGTGTCTCCAAAAATTCCCGCTCACGGACAGAAATCCCGTGTACTGGGCAAAAATACCTATTTATGGGGATGAAAATTTTGTTTAAGGGGACAAAAAAGGGGTGCAAAAAAGGGGAAAAAGGTTCCATTTATGCAGGCAAGAATTTCCATTTATGGGTCAAAATATTTATTTGTTTATTTATTTATTGGGGGAATATCCTAATTAGAGGGACAAAACCTGTTTATGGGGTGACAATTCGATTTATGGGGACAAAAAAGTCCTGTTTATGGGGTGGAAAAAGGTTCCATTTACGTAGGCAAGAATTTCCATTTATGGGTCAGAATTTTTATTTATTGGGGAAATAAATTTATTGGGTAAAAAATTCTGTTAATGGGGTGAGAAATTCCCCTTGTAGATACAAAAATACCTTTATGGGGACAAAAGTGCCTTCATGGGATCCTCCCAGTTTCTGGGGAGGATTCTGAGATATCTTGAGATAGGAGAGATGCTGATCCTAACAAATTCCTTGGGTTTTCTTCCCCTTCCAGGGCGTTGTCCCAGCTGGCAGCAGGTGAGTGAGCTGGGTGAACCTGGAGGCTCTGAGCTGGAGCTGGCTGCAGGAATTCCCAGGGGGAATTCCTTGATTTTTTGGGTCCCTGACTCCTGTGTCTCCTCAGCCTGGAGAGCTGGATGTTCCTCAAGCCTGAACCCGGCTTTTCCGAGCTGGAGAAGAAGCTGAAGAGTTTTTCCCAGAAGAGCGCCGTGCTCAAGGAAGTGCTGCTGGAATTTAAGGGTGAGCCTGATGAGATCCTTCCTGGAAAATAAAGTGCTTTCCCAGCCAGGATCCCACGTGGAAATCCACCAAAATCGGGGCTGAGATGGAGCCGGGCTCTAATTCCCCCCCTGGGCTGGCTGGGAGAGCTCCGGGTTGTTCCCTTATCGCAGGGAAGAGGTGGAAAAGGGATTTCCCTGGGATTTGAGTGTGGGAGTGTGGAGTTGGGATCATTCCCATGGCTTGGGCAGTTCTGGGGATTCAGCTCCTTCCTTCTCTTCCCACAGAAAATCTGCGCTTTGAGCTGGAGAACGACACAGGTGAGTCCATGGGGACTGAGATAACAGCTCTCTTTTCCAGGGGTTTGCATGGAATTGGCTGGGATTTGGGGCTGTGACTTCCCTTTTCCAAGAGATAATGTGGGAATTTGCTGGGATCGGGGCTTTTGGGGGAGTCTAACCTGCCTTTTCCAAGGGTTGAGTTTGGAATTGCTGGGCTTGGCTTCTGTGTAGGCTCTTCAGGATGCTCCAGGTGGCTTCACCTGGGTCCTTCTCCTCTGGTTTGGGGCACAGAAAATTCTATTCTTAGCTAGCCTTCTGACGAAATAATTTCTTCTATTCTTTTACTATAGTTTTAATACATTATAATTTAAATATATAATTAAATTATACAAATCACTATATATTTAATTATATAATAATTAATATTTAAGTAACTAATGTATAATTAATTTATATTTAAATAATTCAACTATATAATTAGGATATAATTTATTTAGAATTTAATTAGAATTAATAATTATAATTTATTAATAATTTATTAATAATTAAATAATTTGTTAACAAATTAATTATAATCTATTTATAATGTAATTAAAATTTAATTATTATTTAACACAATAGTATCATAAAAGAATAAATCATTATTTATTACAATAGTATTATTTAATACAATAGTATGTGAAAACAATAAATCAATCCCCTCAAACACGGAGCCAACACTCTTGTCCCTTCCCTCCTAACCCTCACCCTTGGCCCCCTGCCAACACCACCACAGCTATTAATAGCGTTAACACAATTAATGATATTGCACTATTCACATCACCACCCCCCTCCCGTCCCCCCGCAGGCGAGCTCTCCCTGGACCCCGACACGGCCAACCCCTACCTGGTGCTGTCGGAGGACAAGCGCAGCGTGCGCCTGCGCGGGGCCCCGCAGGAGCTGCCGGCGCACCCCAAGCGCTTCGACTACGCCTTCTGCGTCCTGGCCTCCGAGGGCTTCTCCGCCGGCCGCCACTACTGGGAGGTGGAGGTGGGCGACGGGGAGAGCTGGGTGCTGGGCGCCGCCCGCGAGTCCGTGCGCCGCAAGGAGAAGGTCGACTTCGCCCCCGAGGAGGGCATCTGGGCGGTGGGGCTCAACTGGAAGGGCAAGAATTGGGATCAGTACCAGGCGTTCACCTCTCCCGAGACGCCGCTGTCGCTGTGCGAGCGGCCGCGCAAGATCGGGGTGTACCTGGACTATGAGGGAGGGTGGGTGGCGTTCTACAACGCCGACAACATGGCTCCCATCTTCACCTTCACCGCCGCCTTCTCCGAGAGGATCTTCCCGTTCTTCTGGCTCTTCTACGTGGGCTCCTCGCTGTCCCTCTGCAACTGAGCCCCCGCCCCGCTTGCTGGTGGTGTTCCCCTCCTCTCGCTTCCCCTTGCCATCCTTAGGTTTTCCTTTGCTTCTGAGCTAAACACCCCAAATCCCACCCTTGGCTTTTTTTTTTCCCCTGTTGCAGTTCAAAGTTTTTGAGTCTTCTTACCCTCAGAAATCTTCCTCAGGGGCGTTGGTTGGTGAGGGGGCTACTTTAGCACCCCCTCCCCATTGCTGGTTAAACACCCCCTGCAGAGTTCATTTTGTGTTCTTTCTTTGGAGTTGGAGCCTTCTCTGAGAGGATCTTCAGGTTCTTCTGGCTCTTCTACGTGGGCTCCTGGCTGTCCCTCTGCAACTGAGCCCCTGCCCCACTCGCTGGTGGTGTCCGTCCCCCTCTCTCCCCCTTGCCATCCTTAGGTTTTCCTTTGCTTCCCAAATCTCACCCTTGGCTGTTCAGGGGGGATTTTTTTGTTTTTCCTGTTGCAGTTCAAAGTTTTTGAGTCTTTTTACCCTCAAAAATCTTCCTCAGGCGTGTTGGTTGGTGAGGGGGTGGGCTACTTGAGCACCCCCTCCCCGTTGCTGGTTAAACACCCCCTGTAGAGTTCCTTTTGTGTTTTTTTTCTTTGGAGTTGGAGCCCTGTGGAACAGGGAGAGGCTGATCCCATCTTACTTCGAATAGTAGCCAAAGCTCTGTGTCCCCCCTCACCCCTAAAATGCCGTGTGGAGAGGAGGGGTCTTGTATCCACCCCCCCTTCCCCAATTTGGGCACCGTTGCTTTGCAGGTCATTTTCACCCATCCCATCCTGACTCATCCCATCCTCCCTGGGGAAAGGGCCAAGCCCGTCCTGCTGTCGCTGAGTGACCCCCCCTCTCTCCTCTACTGTCCCCCCCTTCTCGTGTCCCCACCTCCCCATTGCCCCCCATTTCCCTCCTAGCCCCCCCATTTCCCCCCATGTCCCTTTTTGCCTCCTCATGTCTGCCACTGTCCCCCCTCATTCCATCTCCCTTTCTCTCCCCCTAAATTCTGAGACCCTGGAGTGCCAGGATCCCAGCCATGGGATTGGGATGTTTAAGGTCACCCCAAAGCTGGGCTGGGGGGGGGGGCTTGGGGAGGGGGTTCTGTGTTCCAGGTGTGATCTTACCCACTCCCCTCGTGCCCTTCCCCGTGCTGCTGTTCGTGTCCTTTGCCCTGTCACTGTTAGTGGGGAAATAAAAGTTGCTGTGCAAAAAAAAAAACCAACCCTAAAACATGATAACTTGGGGGTTTTTGGTGCTGGGAGAGAGGAGAAGAAGCTGCTCCTGCTTGGGAGGGGATGGAGACAGAGAGATGTCCTTGTCCCCAGCCTGCTGGGGTGGAGCACTGACGGGTTTTGGGGGCACTTGCAATTCACTAAATGGTCCCAACTTGGAACTTCCAAACATCTGTAAGTCCAAATTCTGGTTTAAATCAGAGTTTTTAAAGAAAAGTTTAAAGGAGAAGTTTGAAGCACTGGGAGCTCCCAGTTTTGGGGCACACCCCACTGGGCCTTGCCTCTCATCCCAGTTTGGGGGCACAGACCCACTGGGATCTCCCTCTCATCCCGGTTTGGGTCCCCAATTCCTGGGTTTTTGGTGTCTCCATCCTCTCTCCAACCCATTTGCCTGTGTCCAAATCACCCAAATTTTTCTATCTTTTTTTTTCCATAAAAATCTGGCACCAAATCCCACTTTTACCCAAAATAAGTCTTTATTGAGGATCCACTTGTGGTAATAATGCTGGGCTCGAGGGAAACTGGGATTTGGCAAAAAAAAAAGGGATTTGGCTGAAAACTTGGGATTTCGTCTAGGATTTGGCTGAAAAACTGGGATTTTGCCTGTCCCATGTATTTTTGGCACCTGGAGGGTCCAGCATCATCCCAAATTTTGCTCCAGCCCCCAAACTGGGGGCGGGGGGGGGGGGGGTGAGCCCTCTAGGACTCCCCCTCACCCCTCCCCTGCCCTTGGGGTGGATCCCCCCCAACACCCCCCACCCCAAACTCCAGTGGGGCCCTCCCTGTGTCCCCCCCAGTCCCCAGCACAGCCCCCAGCAGCTCCAGGGCCTGCTGCTGGGTCCCCTCGGGCTGGGGGAGCCCCCCAGGGTGGCTCTTGCTCTTGTGGGCGGTGACGTTGTCCCGTTTCTCAAACCTCTTGCCACAAACGTCGCAGGGGAATTGGTAGAAGGAGTCGGCGTCATGTTTCCTCATGTGCCAGTTCAGGGAGGCTTTCTGGCGGCAGGTGAAGCCGCAGATCTCACACCTGGGGGAGATTGTAGATTTTGGAAGGAATTAAAAACCCCAGGGAGAAGCAGCCTTGCCATCCTCAGGGCTGCAATGTGCCAGGGTTGAAGCTCCAGTGCCCTCCAGGCATGAATGGCTTGGACATGGGTCCTGTTTCAGCTCATTAAGCTGTGCCTAATTAAACGCTACCCTGGAGCTGCTGGGTCTGGACACAGCCAGCTCCAAGGGCAGAAAGCTCAGGGGGAATCTCAGCCTAGCTTTTGGCTGGAGGAGCTGATTTTGGGTTGAAAAGGGTGGCAAGAGACTCTGAGGCTGAACAGAGCTGCAGGAATGGGACTGGGACTTATGGGGGGGGGGGGGGGTTGGAGCACTTACTGGGATTTACTGGAGGGGCAGGGATGGGACTGGGACTTAGCGGCGAGTTGGAAATGGGACTGGGATTTACTGGCAAGTTGGAAATGGTACTGGGACTTACTGGAGGGGCTTCTCCCCGGTGTGGATCCGTCGGTGGATGATCAAATTGCTGCTGGTGCGGAAGGAGCGTGCGCAGAACTCACAGATGTAATCCCGCTTGTCTGGGAGGAAAAGAAAAGGGATTGGGGGCTGATCCAGCCTGGAAAAACCATCAGGATGTGCTCTGGGAGCTGGGAGAATTCCCAGCGTGGGAATGGAGAGGATAAGGGAGAGATTCTGGGAGCAAAGGGCAGCAGTGAAAGCTCCCGGGGGTGGGAGTTTGGGAATGGGTGGGGAAGGTGGGAATCTGATGGGAGCAAGTGGAATCCACACAAAGTGTGGAAATGTGACCTATAAGGCAGGTGTGATTCCTGAGAGGAGCCACCATCCATAGAAGGGAGTTGTAACTCCTAGAGGAGGATGTGTAATCCTGGATTTCACCAGAGAGGTGCAATTTCCCCCTGGAAATGCCCCTCTCACCACTGTGCAGCTTCTCGTGTTCCTTCAGGTGTTTCTTGAAGTTGAAGGATTTCCCACAGGTGGGCTCAGAGCAGGTGAAGGTTTTCTGGTGCACGTGCTGGTACTTCTGGTGGTGCTGCCAGGGGGAAAAAAACCAATTCCAGCTCCCAATTGCAGCTCCAGGAGACCCCACCCAGGCTCCCCAGGATTCCCAGGTGCTCCTCACGTTCAGGTACTGGCGGTTGGAGAAGATTTTACCACAGCCTTCAAAGTCACACAGGAGGATCTCGCGCTTTGCCGCCTTCCTGACAGGGAAAACACAGGAAAAAATCCTTATCAGGAAGGAGGAGAAGGGTTGGAAAAGCTTTGGAATGTGGATCTGTCCCCAGCTCCCTCCTCCTCCTCACCCACCTTCCCTTTTCCCCACCAGTGAAATCATTTAAAATGAAGCAAAAAAAAAAACACCCTTTCAGTGGTTTCTCCTGCCCATCCTGCTCTTCGTGGGAGCTTCCCTGGCCCCTTCCCTCCTCTTCCTCAGGTACCTGATCCTCTTGGGGCCGATCTGAGCCACGTCCTTGTCACTCGCCCGTGGCTGCCTGCAAGAGGAAAAAGCCATTTTCAGCCAAGCCCTGGTGTCCCCTCACTGTCCCCAGAGCCAAGATTCCCCAGGAAATCCCACATTAAATCACCCTCAGGACCTGCATTTTTCCCATTTCCACCCCGTGGACCAGCAGGACACGCTGGAACAAACACATTTCAGGCGTTTGAAATAAGAATAAATTCTTTATTCCTTGTTACAAAACCCTTTTCACATGGTTTGGACGTGTCCCAGGACACTGAAATTGGCTCCCAGCCTGGCTGGATCTATAATTCATCCATAGATCCCTGGAAACAGCAGCTATTCCTGGCTGTCACCCTGGAATTGAGGAAAGATCCATTAAAAAGTGGATTAAAGTGGGGTTTGGGGAGGGGAAATAATGGGATGGTGAGAGATGCCCATGCTCAAGCATGGGTATTTGTCCCAAATCTCTTGAAAACAGTTTTTTTATCAGCTCAGGGTGACTGTACCTGGGGAAGGGAGAAGAGGAGAACCCCTTTGACATCAGTGAGGTCCAGCTTTGCTCATAAACCAGGATTTTATCTCCCATTTTCAACTTGCTGTGACAAAAGAAGGGGGGGAAAATGAACCAAAATATTAAAAATATGATCTGTGTCACCAAGCTCAACCCAAAAAAGGCTTGACTTGAAGCTTAGGCGTGGCTTTGGGAGAGGGCAGAGAGCTGCAAGCCCCTCAGAAAAGCCACCAGCCTGCAGATAAAACTTTGGACACATTTGGAGACCATGGGATTTGGGATGGAAATCAGGCAGAACCCAAAGAACACCAGGAAAAATATCACATTTAATTCACTTTTGGCCCCACAAAGAATGGCCCAGATAGAACACAAGACTTTCCTACCCTCACACGGGATTTGGGAGCCTGGGATCTGCAATGCCAGGGAGAGGGGGAGAGCAAATTCCAGCGTTACCTTCACTGGGATTGGGTCTCCAGGAAGGGTGGTCCCTCTTCCAGCCACATCTGGGGTGGTTCTGGAGCTGCTGGGAGAGAGGAGGGCATTCAGCGTCCCAAAAAAAAGGCAAGATCCAAAGGGATCAATCAAAGCTGTGAGGGACAACACTCACCTGGGGAAACGCTTGGGATGGGGCAGACAGAAGAGTTGTGGCTGATTCCAGGAAAAAAAGGGGGGATTTTGCCCCTTTTTGTGTCAAAATCCATCCAGCTGAGGTGTGTTGGATCCGAGGCTGTGCACAGACCAAGCCCCAACCAAACTTCCCTTGTGCAAAGCCCCAGTGAAGCCCTGAGGGCTGCTTTAAGCTTTTTTTAGCACAAAACATTGAATTTTGTGTGCCTGGAAAGGAGAGCTGGCAACACGGGGCACAGAGCTGCTGGAGAAACCTTGGATCCGTCAGTGGAGGAGGTTGTGGTGGGATTGATGGATTTTGGGGTGTTCCAAAAAATCTCCAGTCTTTTGGAGGCTTCAGTGCCCACCACAGGTCTGATTCAGGGGGTCTTCATCCCCCTCCATGGCAGCTTTGACTGCCTCTCCTTGTTCCCTGAGCACCCACAAGGGACAGGGTGGGTGACACCAGGCTCACGAAGCCCCTGCAGTGATGTTTGTGAGCCAAACCCCCATTTGCACCCAAAAAACCCAAGAAACATCTCTGCCCTGCAGTCAGTAGAGTCATGGGGAGGGTTGGAACCCCCCCCCTTGGGGACACAGAGCTCTTGTCCCGTGGCCAGCAGCACTGGACACTCCCAAGATTGGCATGGAAATATTTTATGAAAAATCTTTTTGCTAAGAACTTCTCTCCTGAGAAGCAGAAAAGCCTCAGAAAGGAAATGTAAGCAATAATTATCTGCTGCTGTGGAATGCAACAAGTGCATCTTTGATTAGTTTCATGTAGCTGTTTTTAATTAATGGCCAATCACAGTCCAGCTGTCTCAGACTCTCTGGTCAGCCACAAGATTTTATTATCACTCCTTTCTATTCCTTGCTAACCTAATAAAATCCTTCCTTTCTATTCTTTCAGTATAGTTTTAACATATCATTTTCTTTTAATATCATATATATCATAAAA